AAAACTATACAGTCTCCTCTCTTTTGAAAGGTCTGTAGTTTCGTCTAAACTTTATATAAAAAAGTCCATGATTATGTATTTGGAAATGTTTCGGAGCCATAACTTTCCATACAGTGCCTCTCCATTTTATCAGAATTTATTGCAATTGGATATAATTAGTATACGTTTTTAAATAATTTAATTTCAATCAAGTAGTGCACACAAATGGTACTAGTTTTTTTATTTTACTTTCCTGATGATTTGTCGCCACCCGTTCGAAGTATTTGGTTTGTATGCCCAGTTTTACAGAAGAGCTATTCTAGAGGTGTTTTAATGAATTTGTATTTAAAATTAAACATTTGTAACCTGATCAAAATAAATTATCGGCAGCAAAGTAAATTTATTGTTTAACGAGAAGTATTATCCGTGAACTGTGAAAATGATATGGTATACTTTGCCTTGCTTTTAATCAACAAATTATCATTAAATTTTTAATATGAAGTGCCTTAAAATGTCTTTCTAATAATACAATTGTATTGTATAATGTGGATAAATAAAATTATTTAAAAAATCTAAACGGCTATGCAGCAAAATCCAACGCAATGACCAACAAAGTTTTTGAAGTTCGCCTCGGTTCCGAGAACAAGGCGCGAACACTCATACTGAGAATTTACTGAGCCTGCTGCGAAATCCGGACGTTTTATGTATGCGTGTGCTTGATGTTTAAAGATCTTGTTCCTCAAAGACGCCCGTAATGAAGATATCTTCGTAAAATGCACTTGAAAAGATTATGAACCACCATTCCGAGACTTAAATGGGAGCAAAAACAAGGGTTATGGCCAGATTCAGATCGGGCGAACAACAAAAGAAAGACGTAAGCGCCGTAAAAGTGTTTCTGCCGCTTTAATATGAAGTTGAAACTGCGCTCTTCGCCTGTGACAAGTTCCTGTTTCCAGACAGGTCGAGCGAGACTGCCCGACCTGCGCGTACACCCCGCAGCGGGATGGCATTGTTCTAATTCCTCGCGTGAGCAACTGGCCCTTCCACATATCCTCCACACAGTCCAACTGGTTTCCATACATCTGGGCCGCACACTGGGCCGATAGAGTGTAAAAGGTGTGCGTAGCACAAAAATCAATTGATTTTTGTTAAAGCTGTGGATTTCTTTTTCTTGTTGTTGTCTAATGCTACGGAATTAGAGAGGTTGAGTAATTATTGATTTCGACCGCGGCAACTACTATGGGCATTTATCACATACCTGTAGTGCATTTTATATCTCGGGAAGTAGTGTTATTCCCGCGCTGGAGCGTGAGATCCGGCGCCAACTCCTCCGTAGGCTGGCGCCCCCCCCCCAGCCGGAACGATCTCTTAGCTTTCGACTTCTCACCCGACATGTGTGGTAATGTAGTGCAACTGTGAGTAAGAGATGCAATGAATGAGTGAATGATTCTTTAAGGGCAATGTTATTTCCGCTAAGGTATCGCACCTTATCGAGAAAATTCGAAAAGTCCATCAGTATATATCGATAAGGGTTTAATTTTCTTTAAATAAAAAAAGTAATATGTAAATTGTGAAACTTTTAATGAGACATGGTTGAGTTGCAAACATTGACTTGAAAGAACATTAGTTATAAGTGAGAATAGTTTTAATTCGTTTTCAATGGTGACTAACATTCTTACAAGTTAATGACTTATAAAATTGCACAACTTTTGACGATAGATTTTGATGTAAAAAATACTTTAAGTATGTAAATTTTTGTAATATATGCAATACGTTACTGTGTGAGCTGACACTCTGTTCAGTCACATTGAAATCTAGTGCCTTCTGGACAGTAGCAAGCAGGTGGTCACTGGCGGTCGCCTTTTGGTCTGCACAGCGAACCAAGAGGTGAGATCGGGTAGAGAGGTTTGGCCTAAGGTGCCCACATCTGGTCATTCAAATCTCCATTTTTAATGCAGTGGAAAGCTTCCGCGGCCAGGATCATGGTCATGATCTTGGCTGTCCGGGTGACGCGGTGTCGAAGGCTGTGGTGCCGACGTTTCGCCAGCCTTCCTCGGGGCTTGTCTGCCGTCAGCCTCCATATTGCCTATCTCCACCGCTTTCGACGCGGCGTGACCTGGACAGCGAAGATCACCTCCACTTTCAATCTTTTTTTCTTCATTTCGTTGGAAGCCCTGTGTTGTGTTAAGTGATATGTTTTAGGCACTAAAATCATTAAATGCCGCTAAGCCACTAAAATAAATTTCTGAAAATAAACTAGCATAAACGGAGCAGCTTTTTGAGGAGAAATAGTGAGGTATTAAATGCTTTGAACATGACAAATTTGTAATATACGTCATTATGTGCCTGTGACACACCATTTAATGATGTTAGCAGAAGCACTTTTTCAACCGTAGCTACGCTTTCGCATCTTAACGGAGGCCGTCGTTTCATCTGTTTCACTGTATTTCATCTGATCACGGAGCTTAAGAAGAGAGATTGTAAGATCTAATATTAATCATCTTCTTTTTCACTCAATCTTAATCCTCAGTGGAATAGAATCTGTGTTTACTACTGTTACCCATCATGAATTTGCCATTTTATATTTACATATCCCCAATCTCCATCTTTAAAGTTTTCTTTTATTTATTACATCGTCTTCTCAAGTCAATATTGGTATTTTACATCCAATTAAAAATATAACTGGTCCATTTCACATTCTTCATCCGTAGCATCTAGAAAAAGGCAATGACGCTCTGAATATTTCTTTATGACTTGGAGGTAGAATACTGCCAGTTATGTGTCCAGATTTTCTTCGTTGAACGTGGAACGAAACTATGCATCGCGACCATCTACATGGCTTCTCGTTTTACACTGCAATAGAAGTTTCTGATAAGCGTAGCATCTGGCACTCGATTGATTGATTTGTTACTGTTTTCGGGCGCGTCAACTTCTAGATCATTAGTTCCGTAAGTCTAGTGCATGTTTGTATCGCGGAGGTGGTGGTGATTCCCCCCCGGTGGATGGGAGACAGACATTGACTTGCTGTTTCTTTAACTAGGTATCTCCCACCAGCAGGGCCCCGCTCCAACCATGACACACTCCAAGCTCCATATATGTGATCTTTCAACATATGTGGTAGTGTACAGCATATAAGTGTAAGTGTGCAAGTAAAGAGCGAGAAAGGACAGGGAAGAGATAAAAAATACCGCGTGCAGTGCTTAGTACGTTTGTCAGGGTACCGCTCTAGCAATTGTCCAGGGTTGATCAGGAGAAACGACGGAAAACTACCGATCAGAGCAGCTGGCCGCTAGATTTATTATCCAGGCAGCGGTCTAGCTATGTAGCTTGAACTTCTATTAAATTATTAATCCGCTTGGAAGTCTAATGAAGATCAAACGCCAAGAAATAGAAAAAAGACTTAGCCCGAATTAAGCCGTTCTTCCACCCAACTCCTCAATTCCCCGCGCCCCTCTGATGACGCGTTGGCCCACCGTGCTCTGGGGTAATCTGTACGTGCGTTGCCTCCTGGAGCTCATCGCGGACGATTTCGCACGGTCGACCTTTCGCCATCCGGGTGGTACCTGCAGGACACAGGTTTCTTCCTTGTGCGTGTTGCAGATGGTTATACTGGTGCACGGACGGATAAGACTTGAAATCATTAGTAGCGAGATTTTTCTGCTGCTGTATATGCAGCTGTGAAATGCATTCTGTATGCACGTTTCGATCATAAATTAAATGTATCCTTTACATCACGTTCCCAATGGCGTGTATCAGGGTTGAACGATTAACATTTGCGACTATCTACTATATTCGCTTAACTACATGAGAGGAAACCTGTTAAAATTCTAGCTTTTACTTTCTCGCGTATTAATTAGTAGTAGTTCAGAGAAATTATTGTCGTGCTACAGCAAAAAGAGACGATGTTTCGAGACAAAAATCGTTTTGTAAATTTCTAACATCAAAAAAGTGGATAATTCGTGTTCCTATATGTAAAGTATTTTCTCTAACACATTATGAGTAGCCATGTTTTAAGAGTCCTTAATATCGAAAACGTAGTTTACGGTAAAATGTCTGTCGGCTTGTCTCTATTTCCGTCAGTATTATTCTTGTTCCGTCCGTCTGTGAACACCTGTATTTCTCAGTCGACTTGGCTGATGTCTCAAAACGGCTTCATTTTTTACATTTTTTTCAATTGGAGCGAAGTTTGGCTCTAGAGATGACGCATGTCTCGTTTTCAGTAAACGTTCTGCATTTTTGAAAATTGCGAAAAATGAAATCTGAAACTACAATATTTGTAATATACATTTTTGTGCAATAAAATCTGTCCTAAAAATGGACTTTTATATGGTTTTATGTACAACGTGTTGAAAATATGACCTGTTTTCACGTATTGTTTTGCTTCAAGTGAAGGCCACTTATATATTTTCTCAAAACGACACGAATTTTTCTTTCGAATAGAACAAAAAGAATAGAATAAAAATAGCACATGTTCTACTTTTTTAGCTCTCTGAATTTTCAAAAATTGCAAATTACAAATTAGTTCCACGTAATGCGAGAAAATACGTATTCTTGTAATACGTCTAGTTCGGTGTCAAAGACTTTGAAAAAGTGGGTTCTGACGACACAAAGTGTTAGAGGAAGAAATAAACTACATTTAGAAAGAAGACCTTCACAATACCTGTTTTCTCTGAAGAAAAATCGCCTCTTTCCGCAGCAGCATTGCAATCCATTCTATATACTACATAAGTAAATAGTAGGCGAGAAAGTCTAATGTATAAAAACAGGAATATTTTACTGTTTGTCTTCTCAAATTACTTTGATTTGTTTTAAATTCCTGAGATATGTTTTTTGTAAGTAAGTGCTTTTTACTTATGCTTATAACATACAGATACTTTTAGGTATGATATAGAAATGTTAACAAACTTAGAAATGCTTTCATCATTTCTACTGCCTTCATCGGCTCCGTTAAACGCAATCCAAAGTTGAAAACATATAAACTAAGATTAATCATGCTTCTAGCCTCTCTTATATCTACATACCGAGAATTAGGTGCTATGTCAGGAGACTTTATCTGTGATACACTCTGCAGATGGGAAGCACACAGAGAGGTGAACTGAAAAACAAAGTTTGCATTGAAATGTATTCATTCGGTCAGAGCTATCTAAAGCACTAGAAGCTAAACTACATTAAAACTATATAGTGTAACCCGAAGAATGAAAGCTAAAACTGTTGTTACAATGAAAGCAAGTTAGTTTTAGTCCAATATGCTACGTTTAATAAACCAACATATGTTTATTCAACATATCCTATGTAGCTTGTTTTCTCATAAATTATCGTTTTTTACATAAATTGTGAAGTGAAATACTCTTGGAGAGAGAAAAACAATATGATTTAAAAACTATCAAGGGCATAATGTTGGTCGGTGTACTACTTAGCTATTCTATATGTAGTGAAACAATATTATTTTTGATTCCTAAGTTCTACACTTCATTTTTAGCATACCACAACCAATTTTGGGGTGTACGGGCAACATAATGTTAACCATCTTAAAGCCACTGCCTTCAAAACATATATTAAAGGAAAGACATTATTTGTAAATATACGTTGCAATTTTTTTCCTGAAATGTGTTTAAAATTATTGCCTAGAGTTTCACAGCTTAAAAAGCACTGTAAATAGTTATCCACAAAAACTCGACTAACAAAATGCACTATTTTTGTTCAATTCAAAATAATGTCCATTGAATATTCACATAAAAATAGTGTTTCTTTTTACAAAATAAGTGTATTAGAAGAACATGATGTATCATTTACAACAAAATTCAACCAATCATCCTTAATCTTGAGACATAGTGTTTTGCATTACTCGTTTGTAAGACAAAATGTGTAATATATTTCCTTCGACGTTTTCTTCACGTGATTTTTAAGGTACCGGTTCAGGATATAGGTCACACGGAATAACTGCAGTCAAATATCTGTTCAAATTACTCCCAGAGCATTAAACGTTATTTACTCTTGTATTTGTTTCGTCATTTAGAGTAATTTTCAAATGACTTTTGAAAGCACGGCACTGCAGTAGGCATATTATCCAAACTAAACCCAAATGCCTATATTAAAGTCACGTGAAGGCACACTTATGGGCCCCGTGACACGAAATAACAGTGATTTAGGTAATTCACGAGGCGTAGCGGTGCTGCCGCAACCAACCACGGCGCTGCGCTGCCTGCAACGCAGCCCGGCGCGGGGCTGTGTCCTTGTGGGGACTCGAACCTGGACCCGCCGCAGGCCGCGATTCGCATCTTGCAGCGAGAATCGTCCCTCATAAATCGCATTAGCGATGGATCGCTTGTCATGTAATCGGGAGGGGAGGGGGAGGGGAAGACGGAAGGTTGGCGAGGCAGATATGGAGCTTGCAGGACTCTAGCTGGTCTTTCTTGTTCCGCGAACATCCACATGCCACGCACCGTAGTCTGGAATGGGCAGAGGCCTGCGAGCTTCTTTGCATACATTCATTTAATACAAGTATAACATAACGTTATCGAGGAAATATTTAAATATGACGAATAAATTTGGTAATAAAATCAAAGTTGAATATAGGTATGATATGATTCCTGTTGCATTCTTACCATCATTTTATAACCAATAGATTCCAATAATTGTCAGATTATCATTAAATATTAAGCTGTACCAGTAACTCTTGCTCGTATGTTGCCATATTTACTCGGTCTTCAACGCTTGCTCTTAAATGTATGTCACTGATGGCATGCAAGGATATTAGATAATAGCTGTTAACTAGGTCGAATTCCGTCGCTGCCCGGAGGAGATTCTAGAGGTCGGCTGCTCTGATCGGTATTTTCCGTGGTTTCTCCGATCAACACCAGACAAATGGAATAGTACCCTAACAAACGGGCCACGAACAGCGCGTGCTCTCACATTCCTCTTCCTTGTCCTATTCTCACCCCTTCCACATACACTTACACTAACACGCACTATACTACCACACATGCCGTAAGACCCGTCAGGAGCTAAGAGCTTGTCCCGGCTGGGACTGTGTCCTGCTAGTGGGAGATACGTGGTTGGGAAACCCCTGCTAACCGACTGTAGGTCGGCGCCGGATCTTGACATACAGCGGGGGAAAGCCACCTCTCGAGCAAAAACACATGGATTACACTTAAGGGACTAATTACCCTGGCAGTTGACGTGTCTGTAATCACTAAACAATCAATCAATGGCTTGAAAGCTTCCATACATTAGCCTCTCACCCACAGAATTTGTTCGATAGTATTTCTGTTATAGAAAATCATGTAAATTATACTTTTAATAATAAATGAGCAAATAAAATATTGTATAAATTGGCAACACCACTACTTTTTACTGTATCTCTTCCATGTTGATGAGTAATATTTGAAGAATGTTTAACACTAATATTCTAAGTGTTTTAATGAAGAAAATATGAAATCTATTTTATATTTTGTAGTAGGTTTCAAGAAAATGTGATCCTAAGTCATTATTATGTGGGTTATATAAATATAATTCCTCGAAATGTTGGTAAGAATCAAATCAGAGGTTTAGCTTTCAGTCTCCGAAGATCGTCACAATACAAAAATATCTTGTATGCATTGAAAAAAATTAAAGAAATGGTGCTGCGCTGTCTAGAGAGCGCCTTTGCTTAACTTTTATATTTTTGTTGGTTGGTCGTGTGAATGTGAAAATGAAGTGAAAAAACGCCATTCAATTGCACTGTGAAAGAAACATCCGTATTTAATATTTGAGATGAAAGAGAGATTTTAAAATAAATGAGAAGCTGAACTTTTGCATTGCGTCACACAAAATTTTAACGTGTGTACTATACGAAAAATAGATTCTCCCTCAAAATATTACTTCATGTCATTCAGAAATGTCATTAAGAGCAATGAAATGAGGTAAATTTACACATTTTGGAACAATATAATAACTATTAATGATGAAAAAGGAGTTAAACATGTTTCTATAATAGTAATTGAACTGTTTTATATTTAACAAAATGCACGATATATGTTGTAGTACACTATAATATGAAATCCTCAATACAATTTAATTTAAAAACGTAATGTTTTAGATTTATCAAGATTCATGATATATGTTGTAGACGATTATAACAAGAAAGTCTGCTATCCAATTTAATTTTAAAAAACTCAATGTATCACGTATAATTATAAAAATTGATTTTTCAAAGGGTCTCTTGTTTAGAACTATTGCTCGACATTGTGTTTATATATAATCACAAATCTTTCCGTTTAAAAACACACAATCTTGGAACTTAGAAAACTCGCTATATTGATTTCGCCAATTACAGTATAACCTCACACTTGCTAGCGCTACACCAAGCCATTCTTGTAGATCTTGACATAAAAAAAACGACATAATGAACGAGTGGCGACATAAATGTTTAATTCTATTCATTATATGATTTTAGTAAACGTAAGTGTTATACCATAATATTGGTTAATAATAGGAAGCGATAACACACCTGGAGCCCACTAAATTTTGTTCAAAAAAGCGACGAAATTTACTTGAATAGAAAGTTCAAATTTATTTCTAAACGAAAAACCTTAGTGTTCTTTGTTTTTGTTTGTATTTTTTTGTTGTTTTTTTTCATTTTTCTAAACGTCAGAGGTTTTATCGATTATTGGAACTACACCATACTTACATATTCACTTTCTTCTATTCGAGCAAAACATTTCCACAATTTTACAGAAAATTTTGAATATGTCGGAGGCTTTCTGTAAAGCTACCCTAAAATTTAAAATATCTCAATAGTCTTCAGACCGGCTTACTCCTAATATAATTATCAATTTTCAGCTCAAAAACGTATATCAACTTCATGCGTGACACACACTTCCATTTATACATACATACATACATGCAGCATTCAATACTTTCGGGTACAATATTGCGAGAGTATCCTCCCCACCTGTACCAATCTTAATCTTTCTTGGAGAAGCACAGACCTTAATCATAACGTGTGTACGAATTTTAACATAACATTACGACCAAATTTGAGATCGTATTGATCAGGCGATTCCAATACATTATCTACCTGTACTGTAGTAAATAATGTAAATCAACTATCCAAATTTCTCACGAGCAATTATGACAATTGTTTATGAATTATGTATGATATACGGAATGAACTGAAATAAGGGTATAAGTAAAGGTCTTCAGGTAAGTTCAACCAGCCGTAAAATATCATGCACACCAACAAGGCATACTCACAAACCAGTCTTTTGTTGTAAAACTGTCGCTGACGCAATGTTCCCGTTGTGCGAACAATGAAACAGGTGGCAGTGACGGCAGATTTGCAGTCGGTGGGAGCAGGTTCCTCAAGCAAGGTTTGCCTAGGGATGCCAAGGACTTTTCTTTATTCTGTATTACTACGTAGTATAAAAGAACAGTAAGGCTGAAGAAAAATGCTAATTTTTCAATAGAAAAACTCATGTTGTGGGTTTAGAGAAGGTGATTAAATCTTGTCCTCATGTGTAGTAAATTACTTCTAATACGTCGAGAAATAATTCTCGTTTTGAGGGTTCTTGATACCGAATTGGTTGACGGTAAAACACTCGTTTGTTTGTCCGTCCGTCAGTCTGAGATCAAGCGCTTAAACCGTTCAAACGAATTTCACCAAAATTGATATTCCCCAAACGATCTCGTCGAACTGAAAGCCCTGCGAAATGAAAACGAATATTTTGATTTTGGGGGATCATTACATAAAGATTCAACATTTTTACATATCACCTCAACATTAGCCTCAAAAATAGCTCAAAACATTTTACAAATGTTTTTCCTCGGATATAGCAAAGGACGCTTGAAAATAACGCAGGCCGCATTTTCGTTGAACTCTCTGAACTTTCGAAAATTGCAAAAGTAATGTGAGTAATGTGAGAAAGTGTGTGCTGTTGTAGCACCAATAGGTTCCAAAACAGGATTGATATATTGTGCGTTTTTTTTCGTGCACAAAGTTAAGCGGACGGGAAGTTTGTGTGCGGGGGTGCTGATGTCCGCATTGCCCTTCTCTCACCGCACCCACCTCGCCTCCAGCAGGTCCGCCCACGCGAACAACCGCTCACGCCCCCGCCCACCCGCGTGCGTGTCGCCCGCCCGGTCGCGAGCCGCCGGGAGGAATTTCGGAGGAAAGTGTCCCGTCCGGTGGAACCGGGCGGGCGCGCGAATGCGGGC